CTCCTCCACCTCCTCCTCCTCCATTACCTAGGACAGCAGTTTCCAAAGTATGATTGGAAGACTCCTCGGAGAGGTCCTAAAACCTTTTCAGAGAGCCTGGGAAATGAACACTATTTCATAATAAAACTAAGAGGTTATTTGTCCTTTCACTCCCATCTTCTTATAAGAATACAGTGGAACTTTCCAGAGGCTGAATGACGTGTGATCGTGTCATTGCTCTGAGGGCAATGCAATGCATATATACTGCAGTGCTTTTAACCTTTCTGTTTTAGTTTCTAATCAGAAATATATATATATATACACACACACACACACACACAGTCTTCCACAAAAGTTTTTTGAAGTCCTCAAAAATACTCAAGAGAATAAAGGGAAGGGAGAACAGGGACAGTTTTGAGGCCATGCATTATTCAAACCTCAGAAAATGATTATCTAACTTTATAGAGAACTTTTAGCAGAATTGTTAATAGAAAGAAAAGTGGACTGACATGAGTTTCATTTCTCACCTATTACAGGGGTGAGAACAAGCAACGTACAGCTGAATAAAGATCAGAACTGTTCATGAATAAACCTCAAAAGATACAATCCCCTTTAAGAGTTACCTAAAATAATTTACATTAGGATCAATTGTATTTTAATGGACAAATATAAATTCTAAGCATGATTCTCTTCACTGGGTGAGAAACTGGTTCTACTTTTTAAATATTATTATTATATAGAAAGACATTTTCGGCACATGTAATTACTTGAGAGAGTGAAAGAGACTGAGACCCACAAATGTATAAATATGTGATGTTCAAACTGTTAGTTCTTTCTAGTAAATAAAGATGGGCAGGTAAACAAATTTACTTTTCAGACTGTTTATAATATTTTACGTTATATCTTCATTATAGACAGGGACAAATACAAATGTAAAATTTCCTATCACTATTTCAGACATAATTCAACAATTTAAAATTGCTAATTCTATGTTACATGGATTTAAAAGCTTAAACAGAACAGTAATACACAAACATTTTGCTTTATAGCGAATTGACACATTATAAAGCAATGTCCAATGACAGGAAATACTATCAAAAAAAGAGTTGTGATAAAAAGACAAAAAAGAGTTGTAATTCATCAAAGTTATTTTAGGCATTACTCCAAAATTACTTATTATTCAAATGATATGATATTTTATGTTAGCAACATAATAGTTAAATTCAATCTAAAGGGCAGGAGAAAAATTTCAGGGGAAGGAAAGTAAATCTAAAATGCTTGAAAGCAAAATATCAAACATGCATGTAAGTATCTTTTTATATTATTCATATAAGAATTTGCCAGTTCTCTGTATTCATCAAAACCGAGAATGTTTGAATTCACCAGAAGAGTACTAAAAACTTAAAGAAATGGTCTCTTTTAAAAAATCCTTTAGGAACTTATTTGGTTACTGCCACAATGGAAACAAAACAAATAGTAAAGCTCATCACATTCATTTGAACAATAATTTGAAGTAATCTCAGGTTTAAAAATATTTGGTTTCATTTGGAGCAAAATGGCAACAAGAACCATTTCTACAGCTCGGTTATCAACCTTCATCTGGGGAATATTTAGTTTAGGGGAACAAAAGATTTGAATAATAAAATGCTTCAAAAAGAAATTTCACAGTATACCGTATATATGTATTTACATGCAATACAATGTGCATGTGCAGCTGAATTGTAATAATTCTACCTAATAAAGCTGAAAAAGGAGGAAAAAAAAAGAAATTCCACACAGGGAACTATATTCACTATCTTGTAGTAGCTTACAGTGAAAAAGAATATGAAAATGAATATACGTATGTTCATGTATGACTGAAGCATTGTGCTGTACACCAGAAACTGACACAACATTGTAAACTGACTAGACTTCAATAAAAATAAATAAATAAATAAATAAATAAATAAATAAATAAATAAATAAATATTAAAAAAAAAAGAAGTTCCATTTTCATGTAATTTCATGTATCACAAAAGACTAGATTAATGGCTAAAAAGTGTTCTTAGTTAAGTTCTTAGCTGTGTCTACTTTAATAAGGGTCATTTGCTTGGAAAATGAAAGTCAGTTGTGCTAAAACACTTATGTGAAGTGCTACCAAGTATACATTTCCTGTAAGAATGCCTGAGTTACTGGATTCCCTTCTGATAGACAGGGTCTTCCCTGAAAAAGTAATGGGAGGAGGCGGGGTGGCCCTAAAAGGTGAAGCTGTTTCTTGCATCTAGGAAGCTGACTGAACATCTGAGCTAAGGTAGTGCGCCTTGGCAGGGGGCTCTGAGGAGTCTCCCCACCTAAGGCTGCGCTACTGGGAGCAGAGTTATTACAAAGCCACCTGCCAAGTGCAGGAGACCAGAGCTAGGAAGGGTGGTTCCTGTGGGAGATGACAAGCTACAGATGTGGAACCTGCACGCTGCGTCAGCCCATCATCACTCATGGCCTATGCTCTCTGTTTGATCTCTCATCCTTGCTCTCAGTCTTTACTGCAAGCTTATTTGAACACTTCTGCCCTGTCTCAGGTCTGCTGCAAACAGAAAGAGCAGGGGCATTTGTCCATCTATTCATTCAAGGAGAAGCAGCTCTACCCACCAGGAGAAGATCTTTTAACTCAGGGTTATATATATATTTTCTATTAAGTACCTGAATTCACCTAAAATTTTGCCTTTACTATTAATTTGGTTAAGAAGCATTTAATAGAAACTCCATTTGAATAACATATGGACACTGCTACGTGAATAGAAAGTGACGTTAATCAGTTTTATCCCAGCCTGCATTTAAGTGATCATAAAATCCAGATTTCTTTTTCACAGTTTAAGACTCTAAGTAGAAACACAGATAATGGTCTCCTATATTTATAAATCAAAGCAATAAAACAATACAGCGATATATTACTCAAGTCTCTAAACCAGGGGTCAGCAAACTCCATCTATAAATGGCCAGAGAGTAAACATTTTAAGCTTGGGTGCCATACAGTCACTGCCCAACTGTTTAATTTTGCCATTGTAGTACAAAAACAGCCATAGACAACACACAAATGGATGTGTGGATATGTTCCTAAAACTTACTTACAAAAAAATGGGTGGCAAGCCAGATTTTACCCACAGGCCTTAGTTTGTTTACCCCAGCTCTAAACAACGTTATGAAATAGATAACAAAAGTATGAACACCCATTTGAAAGTTCAAGAAGTTAAACATAAACCACGGGCCAGCCTCTGAAACTACAAATGTGAATAAGGCAATGTTTCTCCCTTGAGAGATTGCATAGCGCAATAGTTAAGAGCCCTTTCTAGTACTGGAAGTGCTGGCCATAGCAATTAGACAAGAAAAAGAAATAAAAGGGATCCAAATTGGAGGAGAAGAGGTAAAAGTATCACTATGTGAAGATGACATGATACTACACACAGAAAACCTTAAAGACTCCA